ACAAGTATAGCCTCTTCTAGGTGACCAGCAGAGCTGGTGGCTGCCTCAGCAAGGGCAGCCCACCAGAGGGTCATGGTGATGGACCCTCACGCAGCCAGAGGCCAAGACAGTAGAAGCTAGAAAAAAGAAGAAAATTCTTAGCAGGCATCCTATATGTGTGACCAGATTTACTCTTGAATAAGAAAGGAGAGACATTTTCACAGGTTTCCAGAAATATTGGAAAATAGTTGGGGGATCCCACAGAAGGGTGGGATAAGAGGCAATACAATTCCAGTTGAAGCCCTGGCCATGTGGACTGGGAAGAGATGAGACATATGAGATCTTTCTTCCTTCTCACACCAAGTTCTTCCTCAACCCCAGCTAATTTTTTATAAAGACTCAAAAGTGAAAGCATTTCTTCAAGAGGCGTGTGAATGTCTTTTAAGTATCAGCAGCTCTAAGCGGGGTGTGTGGCTGCAAACCACACCTCCTCCAGCCTGCACACATTCTGCTTTGAATTGGGGGTAGAAGAAGAATGCCCTAAGGGACTGTAGTTCCTGGGAAGGACGGAGCAAGTCAACTGTCATTGTGAGTCCCCGAGAACTCCCATTCTTCATTTCTTCCCAGGAACTACAGCCCCCACAGAACCTCATTTTCAGGTAGTCTTAAAGTGAAGACCTGAATCTATGAATCTAAGGGTGGTCCTAAAGCACCTTGGAGACCTTCAAGGCCGCCTTTGACTGTGGCCACACAGATCAGCCATGTGTTACTTAGGGATAATGACAGCATACCCTTCTATGGTGCCTTTCAAGCGGAGGAGCCAAGGGTCTGAACTTCAATTGCTCAACCAAGGGCTTTTTTTTTTTTTTTTTCTGGCTTGCAAGTTCTTGTCCAGTTTGAATATGCAGAACGGAGCCAAGAGTACAAGTGTATTGATGCAGTTCCAGAGAAGCCATGTGCCCCAGCTTTTTCAAAAACCCCATCTGGTTTCATTTTGCAGAGGCCAAGCAAGGCCCTTTTCGGTGTAACCAGGGAGCATTTGGGAGAATCATCTCTTAGCTCACAAATAGGAAGACTCCAGAGTAAAGCCATATCTGACTGACATTGTGAGACTCCCCACACAGGGCACACTGGCCTGACCCTACACCAGCAGCACTTGATATCTGCCAACTGAGCTTCACCCCAGACCCCATCTCTTCAACCAAACTGGTGACTTCCCAGTTGAGAGGGCAGGAAAGAAAAGCCAGCCTGTTTCCTCAGGCCTCCTGAATTCTGAAATTGCCATGCCAGCACTTTGGTTCCCCTTTGGTTCTATGCCACCTTTGAGAGTCCCAGGGCTTCAGGGTTATTCCTGGACCTCACCAACACAAGTGCATACATACACTCTGGGAATGGTGCTAGGTTAGGGCATGTCTGTGACAGGTCCCTTTCAACATTGTTTGCAAAAGGTAACTAATTAAATTCTATTTTTTTTAAAGCATTTGGTTGACATGGGTGCATATAAAGTGAAGAGGAGACTCGATTCGACAGTAAGATAAATCCTCTACATCAAGGACAACAGAACAACCCAGATCCCAGGGGGGTCTGGGAGCTGCCACGTGCCATGGGCACGGCATGGGCAAGTAAGCTGGGATGGGAGTGCTTTTAATCCTGTCTGGCTGAGTTCACAGAAGACAGGCCATTCCACAAAAATAAGCAGCAGTCATGAAGGGTCCTGCCCTGTTCTTGTCTTGGAGTTAACACCCATTTGGGTATCAGTTTAATTTAGTGCGGAAAAACCCAAAAATGTAGGATTGGCATCCATCCTTAGGTAGCTTTTGTTCCTCTGGGAGAAGGCCTCAGGCCATAAGTCAAGTCCTTCGAGGACATGGTGTCTCTGTGATCCAGGTCTATGGATGTGGCCCTGCTCTGAAAAGACAGCTTTGAGAAGAGGCCAGTCTTATGCAGGCTCTGTGGTCTCTCTGGGCCATGCTTGTTTGGCACAACTCACCCTTGGTTTCTAGGGGCACCCCAGCTATTCCTCAAAAGAATGCCTGTCTCCAAAACCAGACCAGGACGGGGAAGACCACAACTGATTACCTCTCCCAAGCTTTGATTGGAATTTTTTTTTAGGTAATGTCCTTTGGGAAAATCTGGAATAAAATGTAGGATGAGTCCAGTAGCAAGGCTCTTCAAAAGGCCTATATAGATTTGCAAGTTGAAATCACCAGAAACAAAGCCAACTTCAAGATCTGAGCTAGGAAGTTTGTATGTGGTTACAAAGGAAATCCCCCTTTTCTCCCACCCACAAGGACTGCTGGGCAGGTTGAAATTGGCTACTTCCTATTGCAAGAAAACCTCTGTTCATCCCCACCAGGGATACCATGAGTTCCAGAAGATGCCTGACTAGGCAGGATGTCTTGGATGCTTATTGCTTGAGGGGACATATGAATGACTGCAGGGAATCTGTATGGGACCTTTGTTCTTCTCCACCTCTATTTCTCCATCAGTGACAGTTCTGGGCTGGATTTTTCTGCAAGCCACTCTGATTTTTTTTTTTTTGCATGTATCAGTGTTGAACATATGTCTATAAGAAAGGAGGCCATGGTGGCTGATCAACTTGTGCTTCCGAGTTCCTTGGCAGTTGTCCTGAGGCTAAAGGATATCTCTGGGTTCAGGAAGCCCTGCCAGGTTTCCATTTAAAGGAGTTAGGGATCCGACAGAACACTTGGAGGAAGGAGGTCATCATTTGGATGCTTTCTGAGTCCAGTTTGATGGTCATTGCTCCCCAGGCCCAGAAGTCCCTGTGAAATCCTGGGCTAGCTGCTTAATGACCCTGGTGCCAGAGAGGAAGGATTATCGCATGTGTCCTTTTGATCTAACTGGACCCCAAAGTTGACAGCATTATACTTCCTTTATTATGTCAAGGGAGTTTTGATGTCTCCATGGATTTTCTGTCAAAATGTGGATAATCTAAGCTTTTCAGAAATTAATGCTGGCTCTGCCCAGGCTCAGTGTTTCAGCAGGTGCAGGTGGAGATACCTTTCAATATCCCTGCAACAACCCACACTTTGTTGTTGGGTAGAGAGTGGCTTCACTGGTCTAGCACACTGAACTTCCTCAATCTCATCCCACATCTCTTCCAGGCTGATGATCTTGCAGGCGAGCACCCCCTTGGAGAAACTGCCTCTTCCTGGACACCTTTCCCAATCTAACCAGGTTCAGAGATTAGTTTTCAGCATCTACTCAGAAATATCTGGTGGGCAAATTCCCTCCATAGAGTCAAGTTCTCCCACTTATTGACAAACCACTTAAAAAAAAAAAAAAAAATATATATATATATATATATATATATATATATATATATATTAGTTGTAGATGGACACAATACCTTTATTTATTTGTTTTGTTTTTTTTTTTGTGGTGCTGGGGATCGAACCCAGTGCTTCACACATGCTAGACAAGCACTCTACCACTGAGCCACAACCCCAGTGACAAACCACTTTTTATAACCCCATAAAGCATTTAAATTCCTCCTCTGATGCCTCGGGGTAGGGCACAGCCTGGGATGTGCAGATGATGAGATCAACAGGAGTAGGGAGGTGTAGCAGCACAGACTGTCCTTGTAACTAGCCATTGTCCAGGACTGTACCACCATGGATTTTGTCATCTTCTCCCACATCCTCTGAATGAATAAATGAATGAATGAATGACCTCCCAGCACACTGGCATTCACCAAGTTTTATTCTCCTTGAAGGAGATGATCTGGGTTTCCAGTTCATAGTAAGTTGCCTTGTACCAGTTGTGTGACATGGGGCAAGTCTATTCCCTTTCTGTTTCCTTACTTAAAGGTGATGGAGGAGAACTGAACTTGGCTAACAGATCTACCCACTTCAAATTTCTGCACTTAACAGGTCTGCCTCAAGCAAGACAAATATGTCTTGGTTTTGCAAGGATGTGGATAGGGCTCTCATTGCGGGACATGCACAGAGCCTATCTCTTGTCTAGCCAGGGAAATAATCCCCTGGCCCAGCGTACACCCCTCTTCAGAGCTGGCGCTGCTGTGTAGGTATGGCAAAAACTTCAATTCCAGGTCCTTAACTGAGCGTCTATCAGAAGCCCCTGGGCACTTTCTCTACTTGCTGCTGATCATGGACATCTCTGTGAGAAAAGACACTGGATTTGGGAACAGCCAAGCCCTACAACCAGCATCTACCTAAAGGAGTCCCCACTCGGGAGGATCTTCTCTGTCAAATCAAAGGGGAGAGACGTATGCAGTCTGGTTTTTAGAAGCAATCCCATCAGGAGGGGTGCAGGGCCAAACATTCCTGTGAGTGAAAAGCTGTGGCCCCCCACTGGAGGGCTACAGGCCCCTGAGAAAACCTGTGGGCGGCCTACTGGGCTGGTTCATTTTACTGGAGGTTCGAGTTTGAACCCACAGACCTTCCCTGTTTGGCGTGGTCACAGACTATTCGGCGGAGCACCCCCGGGGAGTCCCGAGGAGTAACAAGTAGGCCGGCTTTCCTCTGGGGCAGACGTGAGAGCCAGAGTCCACCCTGCTGAGCCAACAGGCGGCTGGAGCCATACGAAGCGCATTAACTATTAATAATTTCCAGTTGTTTGCTCGTTCTCCCAGGCCTCTGCAGGCTGACACTCTGCTCTGGCTCCCCTGGACCGCCAGGTCTGGAGATATTAGCGCCTCCGGGGCTCCACTGGGACAGGGCAAGGGGGGTCGACGCGACCCCAGGGCCCCAGCTCGAGCGGGATTCCCGCGCCCATCCGTGATAGAGTGAGGGGCCGGGAGGGGCCGGGGTGCCTAGTCCTCCCGCTGCAACGCTTGCTCCGCGCTCCTGGAGCGCAGCAGTCGGCGCCTGGGGCGGGCTCAGCCGCGGGGCATAAAGCAGCGCGGGCGGCGCACGGCGGGAGCGCAGCGGCCCCTGGCGCCGGGCCTCGCGGCGCGGCCAGTGCGGGCTGGGCCCGGCGGGCGGGCGGGCGGCCGGGGAGGGGCTGAGGGCGGGGCCCGGAGCGCGGCCGCCGGCGAGACCCGGACGGCGCGCGGGCGGCGGGGCAGGGAGGGCGGCCCTGAGGGCAGCAGCCCCCGCCCGCGTGTGCGCCCCTCTAGGCCCTCTCTCATCCGCGACCCCCACGCCGGGTGTCCCCGAGCCCGCCACGCACACAGCCATGGTGGGTCGGCTGAGCCTGCAGGATGTGCCCGAGCTCGTGGACACGAAGAAGAAGGGCGACGGCGTCCTGGACAGCCCGGACTCGGGGCTGCCCCCCAGCCCCAGCCCCAGCCACTGGGGGCTGGCGGCGGCCGGGGGTGGCGCCGGCGGCGGGGAGCGCACGCCGGCCCCGGGGACGCTGGAGCCCGATGCGGTGGTGACCCCAGCAGCCCCGGTGAGTGGCCCCGCACGGACTCCTTCCCTCCCCAGCCCACCCGCGACAGGCCCTGGGGGTTACCAGCGGTGGTGCCGCCCCGCCCGGGGCGCGCTGTCAATGCCACTACCCGCTCGTCGGGACGGCGTGGCCGTCCCTGGGAGCCCGGGGCGGGAGCGCAGCGAGAGCCTGGCCAGCTGGAGCCGGTGGCTGGAAAATTGTCATCGCCTGGGAGGCGCGGGAGCCCCGGGAGAGGCAAGCCGCCTCTCCTCCCTTCGAGGTGGCGGCTCCTGGGGCTGCCAGGCTGCGGTTCAGCCACATTCCTGCTTGGGCGGGGCGGTTGGGGCTCCCGGGATACCGACAGGGAAATCCAGCCTTTCCCCGACCGTGGGCCCAACACCCCGCGGGCTTTGCCCATCTCAGGCGGCCCCAAGACCTGCCTCCTCTTGGCAGCTCCAGGGCAGGGGTGTGCCCTGGGCTTCTCCATTCAGAGAGAAATCTGGGCCAGCCTTGGGGACCTTTTAAGAAGACTCACTCCATGAACCTCCAGCTTCCTTGGTGGCCCCCGTTGTCCTGAACACCTAACCCAGCTGGTGTCTTGTACTTAGTAGATGGGGAGCCTTCAGGTGGCAGGAACTTTTACTCCTTTTAATTTAAAACTTATTTTAAAAGAAACGAAACTCCACCAAGTCTATTTTGCCTTAGGAATCGCTCAGACGTGGAAGTGTGTTGCTTTTACCGTCAGCTTGGAGGCCACATCCTGTCTACAGTTGAAGCTCAAAGTGGGGCTTGGAGATAGGTGTTTTCCACCCTGTCCCCTGGGGTGAAGTAGTTAGTGGCAGCATTGTTCTTAAGGTCCTATGTTAGAGCTTTGATGGTGCTGTACTAGAACCCTCAGAGGCCTCAGTGCATTCCCTCATTTCCATTTCAAGGCAGTACTTCATTCAACTTAGCCTTGGGAGCTTTCCCTATTTGGCTGTTTCTAGCCTATCTTCCACCTGCCTTGACCACAGGCTAGACACACAGTGGTGCCTCTGAGACCCTCCGCCTGGCATGCACAAGGCCTCTTACCTCTCTCAAAATTCTACTGTCACCTTTTCTGGGAAGCCTTCCTTGATGCTTCCCAGAGCCTTGCTAAAGCCTCTGGTATAGTCTTCATTCTCTAGTGGCACCAAGTACGTGGGTCTGTCATAACCTCTGCCACCCTGCCCCAAACCCGTCCTACACAGGGAGCAAGGTGGAGCCCAGGCAGTATGTGTGGTGTGGGCAGGCTTGAGAGCAGAGAAGGCAGAGTCAAGAGAAGGGTATGGTCGGGTGGATGCCCTGTGAGTGCTGGAGAGCACCCAACTCCTCCTGGTGGCTTTGTCATCCCCCACTCCCCAGGACTGCCTGGGAGGTGCCCCTACTATTGGGGGCAGAGAGCTAGGGGCAGAGCAGGGCTCACTGTCACTATCTGGAGGCTGTTTTCAGAAGGTCTGCAGCACCCCTTCCCATCCATTGACTTTGTTTCAAACTCACATCCCTCCCTCAGTCTGGGCCCTACCCATACCCAGGAGCTAGACCCTCAGGACCCAGTGCCTCTCTCTATCTTGGTCTCCTTAAGCTTTTGTATTTCCATTTGACTTGACACTTTGTCCAGGTAATACAATAAGGGTCTCAGGGCCAGCCTGAGAAATGATTACCTCCTTCTGTCATGGAGGACCTGGGGGCAGGACTGCCACCTCCACACCCTGGCACAAGTGTAGATCCTTCTCTTAAATTAGGCAAAGAAAATGACAGATCTCAAGACACCAGGGAATACAGAAGGCTGCCAAGGTCAAACTCTGCTCTGTGCTTATCTTTGCACGTAGACCACAAAAGCCCTAATTCCAGCAAATTGGGTGACTAGGGTGGAACTGTCTCCTGATGAGTCAGAGTGCCAGTGCCTTGACCAGGTGGAGATGCTTACCTTCCAGGAAGGCTGTGCTCTGGGGCGTGCAATGTTCTGGGTGGTGGAGGTGATGTGGAGAACTGTTGGTGACCCTCTAACAGATGAGGCTCCCAGTTAGCCAGAGCAGAGCGATGGGTGGTGTGAATGTGATGGCCCTGATGCAAAAGAGGGCGGGAGTGGGAAGGAGTCTTCAGTTTTAAAAAGAATCCCTGCTTCAGTCTTTCTGGAGTGTTTCGGAGACAATGATAGAGGGGGTGCCACATAATTGAGGGTTCTGAAGAGTTAAGCTCCAGTTCATGGAGGCTTCCTCACCACAAGGCTCCTGGGTCTGGCCAGCATCCTGTTGCTGAGCTCCTGTCTCTTTTCTGCCTTTCACAAAACTGCGGTGGTAGAAGGAGTGCAGATAAGGTAACGGGGCATGTGGCATGATTCTTCTGAGGGCACAGAATACTTTCAGGATCGACCTGGGATTTGAATTTGAGCCTCCTGGCTCCAGTGCTCTTCCTAGGCTGCGGGTCAACCCTTCCCTGGTGTACCCAGGATGAGGGACACAGATCACAGTGGGGCCATCAGCTAGAGGCTCAGAGGCAAGGCCTTCAGTGGGATGTGTCCATGGGCCTGTGGTAGCTCTAACGACCTTCTTTTCTGTTCTGGAAGAACCCAGCCTCTCTCCCCAACACCCTGGCTGTCAGCTGCTCACCAAGGCTGTGCCCCCTGTCCTTTGGCGAAGGTGTGGAGTTTGACCCCTTACCACCAACGGAAGTCAGGTAAATAGAGCAATCCCTGAGTTTATTTCCTTTTTTTTTTTTTTCCTTTTTCCTATTACTGGGGATTGAATCCATAGATGTTTTACCACTAAGCTACATCCTCAATATCCTCAATCCTTTTTATTTTTTATTTTGAGACAGGGTCTTGCCAAATTACTAAGGGTCTTGCTAACTTGCTGAGTCTGGCCTTAAACGTGCAGTCCTCCTGCCTCAATCTCCTGAGTCACTGGGATTACAGGCCTGTGCCTCTGTGTCTGCCTGATCCTTTGACTTTATTTCTTAAATTTTCATTTTTTATTCAGACATAATTTCCTGTTATTTAAAAATTTATTAATTATGCAAATATGACAAATACTATTGATAGTTTGGTGGGTACTCTTTTTAAAAATATTTTTTAGTTGTCATTGGATCTTTTTAATTTTATTTACTTAACATGTGGTGCTGAGGATCGAACCCAGAGCCTCATACATGCTAGGCAAGCGCTCTACCACTGAGCCACAACTCCAGCCCCATTGGTGGGTACTCTTTAGGAATTTTTTTTTTTTTTTTTTTTTTATTTAGTTCTCGGCGGACACCACATCTTTGTTGGTATGTGGTGCTGAGGATCGAACCCCGGCCGCACGCATGCGAGGCGAGCGCGCTACTGCTTGAGCCACATCCCCAGCCCCTAGGAATTTTTTTAACGTTCTAATCAATTAAATAGATATTCTTTTTACAATAAAAATTAGATCATATGATACATAAAGTTCTGCAGCTTGCTTTATGTGCTTTATATCTCAAGGCTATTGGATGTTAAAAAATTTGCTGAATATTAATTCAACTTTCCTGGAGCTGCCTCTCCACCTGCACCCCATGCTCTGACCCCTCTTCAAGGTGCCGTAACCTTGTCTCATGTTACAATGTCACCGGACAAATGCCAGCCTTCCTCCAGAATGATCTCATCCAGGATTATCTGGGGGCAAAGATTCATGGGGAGACTCCTTTAAAGATATATCATTTTTTAGAGAAAGGAATCTTACTTTTGGTGACTAGTGGTTTTATAGTTGGAGTTTCAGTTGCATTACACAAAGGGCCCTTTGATGTGGAACAAAGAGGGGTTCATCAGTTTTGAGGTGAGCAGTTTAGCCTTTTATTCCTGTAGAGCTTGTATTTCCAACAAAACAAGGATACTAGCTTCCACCAGCATCTTAGCTACTTGCCCAAAGAACAGACCTTTACATCCAACTCACAGAAAAGAATTCTGGTTCTCAGTCACCTGATGGGCATAAAAGCTGTTTGATGCATCTGTGTTAACTTTTAAATTACCAAAGGACTTAAAAAATAATAAAGTACCTGAGGAATGTAAATGGTAACTTATTTATGGAAATTGAGATTGCAATTGGTTTTTACTGATAAGGTCAGGTCCCTAGGTCCTCAGGTTTCTAAACCAAAGGCTAAGGTAGACCACATACTAGGTCTGATAAAGCCAAGCTTCCAGAATCAGCATTCAGGAGTTCTGAGTTTTTTCCTTTTCTCATTAAAGAACCAGTTGATCCCTGGAGGGGACAGAAGCTGCTTATAAATAGAAGAGTAGAATCTACTTTGTTCTATAAGATAGTCACGTACCATTAATCGACAGAAATTCATTCAGAGAAAGGTCCCGTTAGGTAATTTTTAAAAATATTTTTAAGTTGTAGATGGACACAATACCTTTATTTTTATTTATTTTTATATGGTGCTAGGGATTGAACCCAGTGCCTCACACATGCGAGGCAACCGCTCTGCCTCTGAGCTACAACTCAGTCCTCCATCAGGCAATTTTGTCTTTGTGTGAACATCATAGAATGTATTCCCACAAACTAAGAAGGCCATGATGTCTCAGGCCATGCAATCTCAGGGGGTCCACTGTCATATGTAGGGCCATTGTTGACCGAAATGTCGTTAAATGGTACATGACTGTGATTACACTGACAGCACTTGCTCAGTGTTGACACCCTGCCCCTTTATTGAGGACCCTTTACAGAAAGAGGAAACCGAGGTTTGGACAGGTTAAGTATCCTAAGGGCTCCAGGCCTAAGTTAATGGGACAGAATCCAGGGGCTCTGGCCTGTAATGGGAAACATTGAGCACAGGGAATACTTTGGAACCTTGCACATCTATCTACCTTCAAGTCCCCATAATCCAGTCAATCAATCCATCAATCCCAGCTCCTCTACTCAGTGGCACGGTGACCTTCATCCCTGGAGCTCACTTTCCGATCCCAGGGTTGTAGAGATTAAATTAGATCCTATGAATTCAGGTGCTTGGAATGCTAGTACCTGGCACAGAATAAGTACTTCATAAACTGTGCTGCTTCTTATTGATGTTGGCAGGTCTCAGACTGGTATCCCACAAGAGATTCAGAGTCACAATTGGGACCCTGTCCCCCTGGCTCAAGGAACAACCTCATGCTGCCTGATTTGTCCCCCCTCCCCAGGTACACTTCCTCAGTCAAGTATGACTCAGAGCGACACTTCATTGATGATGTGCAGCTGCCACTGGGCCTGGCAGTGGCCTCCTGCAGCCAGACAGTCACCTGCATCCCCAATTGCACATGGCGCAACTACAAGGCTGAGGTGCGCTTTGAGCCCCGCCACAAGCCCACACGCTTCCTCAGCACCACCATTGTCTACCCAAAGTACCCCAAGACCGTCTACACCACCACCCTGGATTACAACTGCCACAAGAAGCTGAGGAGATTCCTGTCCAGCGTGGAGCTGGAGGCCACAGAGTTCCTGGGCAGCGATTGCCTCTTGGATGAATGCTGACTCAGAAGGATGGCTTGGGGTTGAGCCAGCTTCTCCGCTGCCTTGGTCCCCAGACCACCCTGGGCAAGTTGGGCGATGTTGCCCTTGCATATCATTCCAGCCCCAGAGTCGGACCTGGGGATACCTCTAAGCCCAGCCTGGGGGAAAAAAAAATCACTGCATCTTGCAATTATTGAGATACTTGGTTTTGTTTTTTTAATTTTCAAATTATCTTTAAAAGGAATATATTTCCTGGTTTGCTGCTTTAAAAGGAGTATATTTCCAGAGTTTCCCCGAAAGTCTCGATTTGATGAGAAAAAAAAAAAACAGAGCAAAAGAAAATGGCAACAGTTTGAACCAGGGAGGGCGGAGGACCGCTCTTCCTCCACTGTCAGTGTGTCTGAAAAAAGAGCTTGGAAAAGTCCCTGGGATGGAAAAAGTGAGCTTTAAGACCTTCCAGCCACAGGTGTCTTCCCTGCTACTAAAGTGTAGCTGTTTCAGTAGGTCGTGATGCCCATATGTGTTCAATCTGGGGAGAGCTGAGTTTCATTCCATTCTTTATTTCCACTTCCATTTTTATTTCCTGTTAATCCAAACTTTTGGAATTCTCTCGATCTTTTTTTTTTTTTAATGATATGGAAAAACCCCAAACCAAAATAAGAGATGCCTTAAAAATAAAACCCACTTCTCTGCCTTCTCTCCTGTTTCAGAAGGTCAGGTGGAAAGATGGCCCAGTTTGGGGGCAGTGGCTTCCGTCTGTTCCCTGCAGGTGGGTGGCGGGCACAGGCTCTGGCGACATCCTTGCACACTTGGCATCTGGTTCACATCTTGTGTAACTCTCTTGATAGGTACTGTAGGGTTTCAAAACGACTTTCCCGTTTTTTCATAAAGGAAAATATAGCAGAGGGCTCTTCTGAGAGAGATGGCATTTTAAAAGAATGCTTTGGAAAACATTTTGGGGACTCCAGGAGGCAGGTTTCCACTCAGGACTGACATGCCTAAGACCCACTGCCACCAGGAAGAGACAGATGTCGATGTTTCTGGTGATCCAGTTCATCATGACTATCTCAATGGATTCAAGCTGAGGACTTTGGTGGTGTCAAAGTCGCAGAGAAATTGGGTCTAATGCAAAAAAACAAGGAATCTTGCTTAACATCCTCTGAGGTTATGCTTTGGTGGATTTAGTGTAAGGAATCATGTCACAACTCTGACTTTACTGCCCGGCTACTGCAGCCAAAGTGGACATTTCTTTCCTGCCGCTGTATAAAGGGAAGTGACTACCGTGGGGTTAAGTGTGAACTGAAGATATTCCAGAGGCAACCTCAAGAGCTCAGCAGAGCTGCTGCAGCAGGGATGGTGCTGGGTGGGGCAGAGGTGGCACCAGGCTGCCCTTCCTCACCGGGCACTCACCACCACCCACCACCCCCAGCCCCAGCCCCAGATTCTTATAATCTCCTGCCAGTCTCTGCAGGGCTGGAGTGTAGAAAGTGGCAGATGGACTTTCTTCCCCTAATATTGGAAAAAACAAACCATACATATTTCCTTTGAATACATCCAAATTATGTCAAGTGCCCCAGGGTTATAGCGCTCTGTGGTTTCTGCCTCCTGCTGTATTTCCAGGTTTTTATAAATGGCATCCTTGTGTCCTAAAAGCAAAAATTGAGAACTCTTTGGGAACCCTGGAGCCACAGCAGGGATTTTTGTAATGATGAAAGCAGGTGCCATGATAATCGCTCTCATTTAAAGGACAGGAGCCCTCTCAGAGCCATTGCATCTGGTGTCCTCTGCAGAGACAATGTCTGGTCTCTTATGCTCCTAACAAATGTGACACATCCCCAGATGGAACTTCAGTCAGCTTCCTGGTCCCAAGTTTGCCAGGGAGCACCCCAGCTGGGATCCAGTGAGGAGTGTCACTCTGGGACCCCATGGTCTCTTTCCACTGTGTACAGAGCAACAAATTGCCACCTGCCTTCGGAGAATAAATTCCACCAATTTATTGGTAAAGATGGATTTTCTATCTGATTTCTTAGTGTTGATAAATAGTAAGTGTGATTTTTGAATTATGCTAGGAAAATTCCCAGAGCTTTGGGAGACACTTGGATGAGCTCTGAGGAATGCTGTGGGCAGGGCGACAGGGGACAGAATGCAGAAGAATGTGGCCTCTGAGGTTTTTTTGAGGGGTGCCCTCCTGAGATTTTTTTTTTCATCTTAGGGGATCGTGTGGAGTTCAGGCAAGTCACTCTAGGTGTGGAAAGAACCTGAACCTTACCAGTCAAGTAAGTCGAAGTGAGCGATGGTGGACGTGTAAGGCGCGTGGACAGGCGGGGTTTATTTTGTTAAGTTATTCACTAGGGAACCAGCTGGGGTTCTTTCTAAACCCTTTTCCCCCCCTTCCAAACCTGCTTTGCTGACTGTTGCAGAAACGGAAGCATATGGAGACACCCTGGAACTCTCCTGTGCGGATGAAATGCCACCAGCCCGTGGTGGAGTCATGTTAGTTTTCAGGGCGGAAGTGGTGATTTTTAAACTCAGTGATTAAAAGCAAACATTCCTAAGTGTGCCTGAGAGATACGGTTTGTTAATTAAAAAAGCTTTTCGCTCAGTCTCCTAAATTAGGGCTTTCATGTAATAGGATGATTTGTATTTCCAGAGGAAACTTGTTTTGCTTTCAAAGTACAGACTTTTAGAAAGACTGAACTTGAACAAGTATCTTCCCACTTGACATTTTTCCTATTTCTAACCTTAGGAAATCCAGAACAGTGTTGAACAAAACTGTGTTTTAAATTTATGTCACCTCTGTCCCGTTCCATTTTGCTTTGTGACTTCTCCATTCAACAATAAATTATCTAAAAAATAAAACCGAGGGATGCTTCTCTTTCTTTAAAAAAAAAAAAAGTGGGGGCTGGGGATGTGGCTCAAGTGGTATCGCGCTCGCCTGGCATGCATGCGGCGCGGGTTTGATCCTCAGCACCACATACCAACAAAGATGTTGTGTCGGCCGAAATAAAAAAGAAATAAATATTAAAATCAATCTCTCTCTCAAAAAAAATTTTTTTAAAGTAAAATTATAATATTTGGTTCATCAGAATGAGGAAGATAGCTCCTTGTCTTGAGCAATGTTAAGATCATTATATGTTTAACAGTGTACATCTGCGGACATGAGACAATTTTCTGGGGGGGGGGGCAGCTAGATACAGATAGTTTTAAGGGAATTTGTTTCTGGATTTGATGTGTACTCTTTCCCAAAATTTCCTTTTTCTTTTCTGCAGGGCTGGGGATGGAGCCCAGAGCTTCGTGCGTGCCAGGCAAGTGCTCTACCACTAAGCCCCAGCCCCAGCCCAATTCTTTCCTAAAATTGAAATTTTAGGAGATGCAGCCGTGACTGGAGATGTCAGGCCATTTCTCTTTTTTCCATCTCCCCTTCCAAATTGTTCTTGTTTTCATTTTATAGAAGAAATCCATACTTCAGTCTAATTGGGAGAAAACTGCAGGAGTATACAGGGGACAGCAGAGAGGACCTGCTCTAGGAGCTCACAGTTGGGGTTTCCTGTCTGTGTGAATCCTGAAAGTAATTCCTTTAAGGATGACCAAGGATGAGGAGCAAAAATAGCTTGAGTTGGGCTGGGGCTGGGGCTCAGTGGTAGAGCACTTTCCCGGCATGTGTGAGGCACTGGGTTCGATTCTCAGCACCACATATTAATAAATAAAGGTCTGTCAACAACTAAAAACATATTTAAAAATAGCTTGAGTTGGGATGTTCTCCTTTCCAGGGTCTCACAAAGCAAGACAGGGGACTGACTTTCACTGAGTGCTCACGTCTCTTCAATCTCAGCCTATCGTCTCCCCTGTGGGAAAGTCCTATAGGGAAGGAGAAGTAATATCTTTTCCTTACCTGTGGCAAGGTTCATGGCTGAGAACCCTCTAACAAAAGACAGATTAACAAGAGAAAAGCCTACAGACTGATTTAATGGCAGCTTCACATGACACAGGAGCCTTTGGAAAGAGACCTGTGTGTTTTTATGGAGAGTTGTGCAGAAGTTAGGTTGGAGAGAAAAGGGTCTGATCTGATGGCAATAAACTAGGGAGGGAATGTTCCTTGCCAGGCCTGTTTGTTCTGTTTCCTTTTGGCATCTCCATGTGACATTCTTTCCCTGGGTGGGGCAAAAGGCAGGACACCTGTCACAGGAGGGTCTTCAGGGCAGAGAGAGAAGGTTAGAGAGTCACTCTCTGAGGTTTTATTGCCGGCCTCTGGGGAGAAGGAGAAAGGAAAGGAATTCTAGTTTCATGGCCTGCCTCAGGGTAGGAAGTGGGGAGGGAAGATCAGAGAGACCTTTCTACTTCGTGTTTTCTCCATTTCTTGCAGCTTAAATTATGCAGCATGACTATAGGTTTGTTTTTTTTATTTTTTATTTTTTGTAGTTGGACACAATACCTTTATTTTTTTTTAAATATTTATTTTTTAGTTTTAGTTGGACACAATATCATTATTTTATTTTTATGTGATGCTGGGAATCGAACCCAGTTCCTCATGCATGCTAGGCGAGCGCTCTACCACTTGAGCCACATCCCCAGCCTCAAGGTTCTGTATTTTGAGATAGAATTTTCTTCACCCCATCAGTTTCTTTGGGCAAAGCAAAGAGAGGCCCCCAACATGGAGCACACCTGTAATCCCAGCTGCTAGGAGACTGAGGCAGGAGGATCCCAAGTTTAAGGCCAGCCTTGGCAACTCAAAATAGAAACAAAAATATACAGGGCTGAGGATGTAGCTTAGTCATAGAGAGCTTGCCTAGCATGTGAGAAGTTTTGGATTCCAGCCCCAATACTAGGGAGAGAAAAAGGAAGAAAGAAGAAAAATGGAGGCCCTTTATTTCATTATTTCATTTAAGCATCAAGTAGAAGGCTCTAAGCTCTATTTGCTTATCTTTTGAGTTATGAATCAAAAATAAATATGCCCTAAGAATATATAGTATCATTTTTTTTTTAAAAGTCAGGGCTGGGGCATAGTTCAGGGATAGAGCTCTTACCTAGCATGCACAAGGACCCATGTTCCATCACCAGCATGGCAAAAAAATAAATAAATAATAAAAATAAGTTTAAAAACCAGCGTCTTCCAAATAGAAATTAAGTCTTATTTGGTTGATTGGGATGACAATGAGGACTAATTTTGCCAATTAGTTTATATGGTGTAATACATGGCCAAAATGAATTGGCTCATCAAGCAGCTCCAAAATTGCACAGGAACTCCCTCCCACCCGCTGCTCCCTTGCACTGGGTGCTCTACCACAGAGCCTCAGCCCTGGCCCTGACCTTTAACTCAGTATGCATAAAAGGAGTCACAAAACAAATAAGCCTACTGTGGAAAACTGTGTTTGCTTTTTTTTTTTTTTTTTTTTTTTTGGTGGTATAGGACACACATACCACTGAGCTATATCCCAGCCCTTTTAATTTTTTTTTGTTTTGAAACAGCATCTCCCTAAGTTGCTGAAGCTGGCCTTGAACTTGTGATTCTCCTGTTTAGTATAGTAGCTGGGTTTACAGAAGCATGCACCTGGCTAGGAAAACTAACCTGCATAAGATTAAAGATAGAAGTGTGTGTGTGTGTGTGTGTGTGTGTGTGTGTGTGTGTGTAACCAGGAGTGGGTTGAAACTAATAATGTTTCAAATCCCCTGAACTCTTCTAAGCATATCACAAAGCTGGTGCCCCCAGGAGAAAGAGTAATAGGTATAATTAACAACATTATGATAAATCTTAGAAAGCCTTTGTGGGTAAACTCAGAAATTTAAGAAATGCATAACTCTGTAGATTGAGTAGCAGTTCCTATTGCAAGGAATACCTCTTTTCAAAATGAAATTCTGATAATTTTATTTTTATATAATCATTATCATGTGCTTTGTTTTGTCACTATTTCCCAACGTGTTTTCTGAGGAATACAAATAAGGTTTTGCAGTGAGAGAACTTTAAGGAAATGAAAAAAACCAAACAAGGGGCTGGAGTTGTGGCTCCTTGGTAGCACACTCGTCTGGCATGTGTAAAGTACTGGGTTCGATCCTCCGTACCACATAAAAATAGATAAAATAAAGGTATTGTTTCCATCTACAACTAAAAACAAAAATTAAAAAAAAAAA